GCAATAAATATCAAAGCAAATGAAAACAGTAAAGGATTTGCCGAGAGTACAAACATAAACATCGCATTTGATTGACCCAATACTCAAAGATCTCCGATATTTTTCAGGAATTTTGAGATTTTTCACATACTATACAACAGACATAAATAAAGTACGCGTATAGAAAAACAGAAGAACGAATGAATAGGAACCCGATCTACATAGCATCCTATCTATTTGACAAAGAAAATTAACGCTTCTGAAATGTCGAGTACGATTACAAGACTACCTAAGAAAACGGTACCCGTGAAGTCATGAACAACAAGAAATAATGTTCAAGCAACATTTTTCACTCTAAGCTAATATCACGTTTAAACTCTAACTGTACATACAAACAAACTGATTCCGTGCCTGCAGACATGATTTACCTGCTGAAAATATGACAACTGTTTGAGATCACTCAACTTCACCATCTTCCAACTCTGGAATGGCTGCAGGAGGTGGAGGAGGAGGCGGTAGAACAGACGGCGGTAGAGGCGGCGGCGACAATGCTCTAGGAGGCTCCATTGCACGACAATACTGCGATGAGCTCTGAAATTGTCCGACAACTTTTGGTTCGTTATTTCCCTTTTTCCTTTAAGGTGCTAGATATTGGTATACTGGAGCAAATTGGTATGTTGATTACGAACTTGATAACCACTCAAAGATCTATCAAATAATTTTACTGGCTCGATGACTTAACTGAACTGTGGCCTTTCCAAAAAAATAATTTGAAATATAGAAAAATAGAAGAGCGTAGATGGGAGATCAAGTTAGTTATCTCTAACTTTAAAAAGACTCATACCTTAACAACATCGTTTTCCTTTCTGGAATGGGAATTGTTCGCAGTATTCAGAGTGTGAGGATGCGACGACGCATGATGCATAACTTGCACTTGTGTCACTGGTCTCGGTGGCTTTGACCCATTTCCGACATTTGCGGAACTCACAGAAGAAGGTAAAGATGATGCCGGATCATGCCTGGGTCTCTTCTCACTAAAATTTCATCAAAAATGCATGATTTAATCGAAAATTGTGTAACACACTCACAGTGGTGGATGGGGCCCATTACCCGAAGACATTCGGTCGTGTTCTCTTTTCCGCCTCCTCTCCTCTTCCTTACGTCTTTCTCTATCTTCTGGCCGCTCAGCGTGACCATGTCGTTCTCGCTCTTCTCGTCGGCGCCGCTCCTTTTCTCTTCGTCTCTCTTCTTCTTGTCGACTGTGATCATCTCGCGCTTTGTGACCATTCTCATGAGGTTGGGTAGCTGAATCAAATCCGCATGCTAGACCATTTTCAAATTATAAAAGTTCTGCCAAATTTTAGCAGAGAGAAAAAGGTAATAACATTTGGAGTTCCACTGAGTAAGCAAATGAGCAACGGCGGAATAAAAGTGTTTGAACCCAGTAAGGAGCTATGTGCTTCTATTAACAGCAGAACAAGAACACTATTTAAAATTGCATCGAGGATCAGACGATGATAAATCTTACCCAAAGGCGACGGAGCGATCGCTTCCTGACCAGGTAGCGCAAGATTAGGCATGGAAAGATCTGGACGCGCTTGAGAAGTGTCAGGGATGAAGCTTCGTCGAGGTGGTGCACGTTCTACAGA